TCCCCTTGCCTTTTGGTAAAGTTTCAGTGATTTTAACCTTCTATCCACATACACATATTTGTACTGATCTCGCTTACTCGCAGAAAAGGCAAGCCATACTTCACACCTACAATGAATATGCTTTTTAGTGCAATTACTGAAACATTTGCCTATATATAACGATTAACTAACTATATATAATAGTTAACTGGCAACAGAAATTAATATGTTTGCAACCCTCATTGATACATGATGCTGTCACAATAACAATCATGAAAACCTATATGCAGAAAGTGACTAAGTTTGTGACACAGGGAATAAATTTCTTTTCAGCATTTAATAATATTAATTAATAAAATTTAGCAAATTTAGATAATATAGCTGTAAACCACAACATGACTGCTTTTTATTTATTATTTTTTATGTAAATTAACAGTTGAATTAGATTTATCCGTCAATGTTTGAGTATGATCCCTGTCAAATGGCAGTCCCACTAAACCACTCTTTCTTCATAGTGGTACTAGAAACTGTCCAAAACTCTTCAGAGCAGCTCACTCGGGATATTGGTCACAACAGTTCTGATGCATCAATTTATTTCCAGTGTGGTAGTGCAACATTTTAAAACCATGAAATACTCCCATAAGAAATTTCGGAATAATTATTTTTAAAGCTGTAGAAGCTAGAACTTTAAATTAAAAATTAAAATTAAATAAATTCCTATGAAATAAGTTTAAACTGCAAAACCCTGAGCTTTTCTTATCAAATGCACAAACAAAACGTCAGTTCATTAACAAAATAATGCTTGTCTTTTGGAGCACAATGAATGCATATATTTGCACAGAGATAGTAATGTAGCTAAATGATCAGAACCCTTGAACATCTGTAGTTTCTACATGCTTTCAGCTCTCGGTAATACACTAAATTGATAGAATGCTAGTCTTGGATGTATTTTCATGTGTAAGTTATATTCAAAGCAATATGTCCATGAAATAAGTAGAATAAACTGCCATCTTGCATGTTCCATTGTCAACAGTTAACTGTATGTATAAACACATTACACATGCATTTACATCTGAATATGCATATAATTTATGAATGCAGATGATTCACATAGTTAAGAAATGTTTATCAGTGGAACTGATATATTCAAACCTTGTATGAAAAGAAGATTTTCATACTTATTTCATTCATATTTTTAAACTCGTTGGAATTTATTACAAAATACCGATATAGCATAGTAAGTATAGATTTATTATTAAGAAAAAATCATATTTTAAAGTAATTTGTAAAAAATATAATAAGTAAATAATTTTGTATAATAAATTAGATCCTATTACTAAAACATATATATATGCAGGCAATGAAATTTTTTCTTATACTCTGAATTAAGAAAATAAAATGCATTTAGATATTGAATCCTGGAAATTTGGCTCTCAGAATGTAAATTATATTTCTTTTATGAACTATTGTATAATAGTGCCTCATTTTTTAATACCTATCTGTGTCCATTACAGAAAAGTGCTCTGAAGGTGCAATCACATTGAAATATTAACAACATTTATTCTCTGTTCTAGAAATGATATTTATTATAACAGTAATTATGTCTCCGACTTCATTTATTGTTTTAAATGCATGTGTATATATACACGTTTATACATGTAAGATACAAAATATGAAAAGTCCCTTGACTCTCCATTTTAATTTGGTTATTTACCCGGCCTTAAAACCAGTAATTGCTTATAATAAATCTCTTTAAACTGCATCATTTAAAAATTAATCCTTCTCACACAATTCTTACATAATGCTAACAGATACTTGCATTATGCTTCAGCCTATAATAGTTTCAAATTTTGGTACCAAAACTTTTAGCAACCAACAATGATAAAACAGAACCAAAACTAAATCATTCTGATCCAGGTTTTTTTCATTTTGGATATGTCACATTGCTCCTCTTGCTTCTCTGAAGTGCAAGTATGCTATACACTGTTACTTTCTCTTTCTTCAAATATTTCCAAAAAGAATAAATGCACTAATGTTAATAGTCAAGAGAAGGTGCATTTTATGCACCAAATTAGAGAGGCAGCTAAGTTGCCAGCTGCCTATCTATCAAGAATAAGGTTCAAACTGCAGCTACTGTATCAAGTTCATGATCAGATTTCAATGTCGCATCCACATCATTATTAAAAATGATATCATTACACACATAAATACATAAAAACAGCCGAATAACTTATAGAAATAGTTTTTAATATTAAACTCTGAAACATTTAAAATTAATTTGAAACATTAAAAATAAATCACTCTGAATGAATTTTAAAATATAACAGTTTGACTTTTATAACTATAAACGTAAACATAAATACCTGTTTTGGGCCACAAAGCATTGACAGCAATGTTGTCTGATTTAAGCTCTTCGGCCATTCCCAAGACACACATAGACATTCCATATTTTGCCATGGTATATGCTTAACGTGTTAAAAAAGGACAAAATAATTAGAGATATAATTAGAAAATATTCTTAATGTAAAAGAATAAAACAAGAGTAATAAATATTTATATAAGAAAAGTACCTTTTAAACCAACGACAAATAACTCTTGTTTAAATTTAAAAATACATTTATGATTATTTTAGAATACATATTTAGAAAATTATAAATGACAAATATATTGTTCACCGTGAAAGTCTTGATGCAGTTTCTAAATACTGATATACTAAATACCTGATAAGCACTGATATATACAAGCACTTGGTGAAATATGAGTCATCAATCTAACACCTTAATCCTATTACTTTGAGAAATCTCAAATACTACATATATTTATTTCATTTATTTTATATATCAGTTTCTTGAAAGAGTTATTAAATACTTAATGTATATTATTATTAATGTATAGTTATTAACTAGGGTACACAGATAAAATATTTCCATGTTATCTGAGTATATAAACCACTTAATGTATTCAGCCAAGTTAATTAGGGTACACGGATAAAATATTTCCATGTTATCTGAGTATATATGTTCAATAATTCAACCCCCCAAGATATGAATACAACAGAATACATCCGCTACTGTTTTGAGTTAAAATAAAGAAAGAGGTAAAGTTAAAATAATAAAAAGTTCGTGGGAAAAAGACCAGTTCCTGAATTTTTATCATTGTATTAAGGGGTTAACGTAAAATTAGTGCCTTCATTTGTACTACTGTATAATGTACAAGGCATTAAACTAATGAAACTTTGATGTCTTTTTATCCAACAGCATATAGTAACCATCCCTTCTTAACAAATTAAAACAGTGTGATGCTAGATCTTTCCTTGGTGAAAAATTAAATTATTCATGACAGTAAATGGGAATCAATGTGAAATTTCCCCTTCCATCCTCTGATATGGCACGGTAAAAATGAAATATTTTCAACACTTTACGTTTTGTCTGGATAATCTGGATAATTGTTTGTATTGCTTCAATTTTATATTTGTCTACCCACTTATTAGCTATAATGGGTGTATAAACAAATGAAATTAATGACAACTGAAGCTATGGAAACTGTCTTGAAAGAATCCAAATCATATACCCTTCTCAGACAGAAAATATCTCTTGATAAATGTATATAAATGATTGTATCTATGTCACAATATAAAGAAACAGCCAAGACTGTATAGTTAAAATTATGCTATGATACTGATTACTTTTTTTCGTGACTAAAATAAATTTGATGTAAAATTATTGCATAGCTTCTCATACACATTTGACCCCTGAACTTTGTGAGTCTATTTGTATGCAGATTTCCTGTATAAAATGCTGAATTCTTCCCCTCTCCGGATTTATAAGAATTTGAGGAAACAAGCAGACATGCAATATATCTTACAAATATAAAAAGTTAAAAAAAATACCTGATATCTTGTGAATGCCAAAAATATACATCTAACTTTTAATTTAGCCTATCGTTTAATACCACTGAATAAACATATATCTATTATAAAAAGGGAAAAATCTGCCAAGATAAAGTGTACAAACACTTATAGACATCATGATACCTGATAATTTGATGTAAACAAAGCATACAATCAGCTGTTATACATATTGCACAACTGCAATATCATCACAGCTATCACTAACCACCAAGTTAAGGTGCTGTGAGTATCTATTTAATGTACATGATGATGCCAATCACATGTATCTGAGTAGTATCATTTTAATGCAATATAAATACTGTCGAGAGATTTCTACAGGTATCTTTCTATAAGTAAAGAAATCTTAATTAGCCAATTGAAAGGGTTATTTTGGATAACTATGAAAAAGAAAAACTAAATTTGTGATTTGCAGACTGATGATATATATATATATATATATTCAGTATGCCGTAATATATATACATTGTCAGTAAGTAAGTAAGTAATGTATGGCATTTTCTTGAGTACAGGACTAGTTAAAGGCATCAACTGGAAGAAAAGAAGACAGCCACAAACTAACTGGTACATCACTAAGTCTTCCAGAAATTCTTCAAAATGTGAATAGAGGACTCATGCTCCACCACGACAATGCATCTTCTCATTAAGCAAGACTGACTATTGAGTTTCTAGAACAGAAGTACACCAAAGTGATAGAATGCCACACTATTCACCCGATCTAGATGTGTGACTTCTGTCTAAGAGCTTACATGGACGTTGTTTTCAATCCAAAGATGAGATTCAGGAAACTATCAATGTATTTTTCCATTCATTTCAAGAAATGAATGGCTTGAGGCATTTAATCTCTAGAAAATTTGTCTAGAGAAGTGCACTGATGCTGCAGACTCCTAAATTTTCATAACTTCTATGTGCATCTAAAAAATATTCTATGTGCATCTAAAAAATTTCAGAGTGTCTCTCATAAGAACTTCTGATGCATCTAAAAATGCCTAGTAAAATTTCACTGCATATTTTCCGAAGTGCTATTTTATTATTATATTCAAATCTCCTTTGACTGACTAAGTCCAACAGAATTTCAACAGAAATCATTGCTGTCTTGGAACTAATGCAATTGTCAGTATCTTCTTCATTTGCATTTTAAATATCACTCACTACCTCTTTTATTCTTGTGACATTTGAAACTATATCTGCATCACTCAAGCACTGAAAGCCAGGCTTCAGTTGAATCGCCACTGAACCAATCCTCGATGTTTTCCTGATCAACGATCAGGAAGTTGTCCACCAATTTCATATTCTTCTGCAAGCTTTACTGTACATTTCTTTTATTGGCCATGTTCAGATATTTTGATTAATGTTAAGTTTTTGTTTTCATGTTGAAAGAACTTTCTTGAGCTTAGTACTTGTAGTGGGTTCTTTACTTATTTTTTAAGTCTAAAATTTTAAAACTGGTTTTAACAGAATAAGAAAACATGCAAAAAAATACACAGGAAACAAAAAAATTTCAGTGATCAGCAGAAACGATGACTTTGACTATGCACATGCAGAACAAACTGTACCAAGTAATAGCTGAAACTAAATTTAAAGATGCAACTCAGTAGTTTTTAGAGCATGCTCAGACTTGTGCATGTTTGATTTTTTACACTCTCACACATAGCATTGATTGTGTATGTGTCAGCACTACCATACACAGATAATCTGCAAATTGGATAGTCACCAGTCTATTGCACCAGAGACTTGGTGAGGTCAGTTTATATATTTAAATTAGTTTGTCCTCCTCAGACGTCTTACCGTATAGCTCATCTGTACTTTTGAAGAGAAAATTATTCGTAAAATGAGCATGACTAGGCTCCTATTCTCTTTATTTATTCAACTATCAAAGTTGTAATCATTGTCATTTTATTTGGAAAGAACTAAGAACATTATCTGCTATCGAACAAAAAGAAGATTTCTTAGGTGGTAAATTGTTGGTGCGGGGAGGGAAAATTATTCTTGCAGATGTTGCAGAAGGAAGATTTGAATGCTCTAGGCTGTAGATACAAGCATCTGCATTCCTACATCAAGCATTTTTGCACAGCTATTTGTTTTGAATTCCTGTTAATGGGCAATAAATCTCGTCCTCCTAAAGCAGCACGCATCAGTGACTTTTTTTCAAAATGATGGTATTGAACGAATGGCCATGCAGACCAAATTTTCAGACTTGAATCCCATACAGCAGACATTATAACTCATCAGATATTGTCGGGTATATTAGCAATTTCAATGATGCCAACAGGCAACTAAACTATGATGCAGTGTTTAGAACTAGCAGATGCTGGATCTACTAGTTCCAAGTGGCACTAAAGTAGTAGTACATTCAAAATGCATCAATATGGCACCAGAAATGCATGATATGGGTTAAATATAAAAATACCATGAATCCTGCCACACAGAATGCTCAGGAGTATTTTCACAGATAAGTTATTGGATGGCACCATCCGCTACCTTTTATGAGTTGCAATAGGCACTTTTTGAAGATTCAATGAAACAAGATGTTTATAAATAGCCGAATTATATGCATACCTCATAGCTACCACTTCTGAATATCTCAGTTTATCCTACGTATTAAATGCATTTCCCCAAGTACAAGAATTATTTTCATAGATATCCATTGCATGGGATATTCTGTGACCTTTTCTCTTGTGCATTTTGATTAAATTTATCTGATCCCACATCTTCTCATGATTGTGTATCTATATATGCTTCAACTTTATACTTTTCATTTAATATGCACTTTCTTCATTCATATTTACCTTTTAAACATTTATATAAATAAGATTTGTTTGCCAAAATTTGTTCAAGTTTGATATCTAAACACATCATTAACTTTTAACTGATATGGTGAAAAAGTTATGGGTAAATGGTATGGTTATATCTTATGCATCCATAAAATAAATCTATACTTTTTGCAGACACTTTCCTGACACATAATTATTTCTACATATTAATAATTTATTATATGAGAATAACCACTATTATTATTGAAATGATAAAGTTACTTAGAAACAGAGTGTACCCCATGTAAATAAGAATACAAATCTGCGTTTTGATGTATGATGTCTGTGTTCTAAGGACCCACAGCATAACAGCTTAGGATTAATAGAAGCCAATTACACAACTTTAGAGAGGTTCGAATCCCGCGAACCGGCTGGCTGCATAGGTGTTTTCGTGGTTTTCCCCATGTGTAACGTATATACGAGCCAGTTTCCCTTAAAAAGTCCTCCACGAAGGCATCCCTCCCTTTAGGCAGATAGCCCAAGTGTGCTTTGCCATAATTAAATACACCAACACAACTTTAGTATCTGCTTATATACACTATTCCAGGAATAAATATTTGCAATATGCTCACTAACAAGATTAAAAAAGCTTTTCCAAGAATATGGCTTAGTATCTAAATAAATCTAAGATATAAAATTTAAACACTGAGTTGGCAAAGAATCAATGTCACATATGCATTAACTACCACATTACCATCATCAGATAGTTCACATGTGATTCTAATTTAGCTGCATGGTCCTGCTTACAATGTAAAAGCAGGCACGACAAAATTCTTGAAACCAGTTTCTCTCAGTGGATATTTACTTTGTGCAGATAAAATATGCAAGCATTATAAAAAAATATGCTACATAATGTTTAACATGTACTTCAAGAAAGTAAAAGTAATTGAAAAGAAAAAGGACAAAATTCAGGACTTATGCAGAGGGTAAATTTGTTAATAGCTGTTTTCAAAATGAAAGACAGAACTATTCTGATGAACAGAAACAAACATAATACCAACTAGCTAGAATTTGTAGTTATTCAACAGTGAAGGTAATTTCATGAATTACAGTAATTAAAACTATTTCCCATTATTAGTAGCATTTTATAACAATATAAGGTTTGATTTTTGTTATTAATTTAGGTAAAGTTGTGTTTTCAATAGCTGATTAAAGATCTTGAAGGATTTTTATTATCACTGATAATGAAAAGATTAATTCTATAAAATTTATGGAATTAAGCAAGTCTTAATTCTCAGCTGCTGGATACATTATTTTTTGAGGCTGGGAGGGGGGTTTATTTTCCCCTGATAAGAGTTTCAAAAGTAATTTCTTCAATAAGTTTTATTACTAATGCCTACCATATGGATGTAAAACCTTTCATCTTAGACCTTTCCGTTGATTTTCCATAATTTTATTGTTAGTAACCCCTTAAGAGTCAAAAGACATGCTTGTTGCAATCTGTAAGCAAAGGGACATCAGCCTTTGAGAGTAAATACTATGAACTTGGCTCTTATTTAATAGTTTACTATGCAGGTTAGTGTAATAAGTTTGTAACATCAGTAGTCATAAATGGCTCATTAGATTCTTTCATATGACAGGGAGTCGACCCAATGGATAGAATTCATGAGATTTTATTTTCTGTGCAGTGCCTTTAAATAAATCGGGTAAATACTTAAACTACTGCTAGTAATGTTTTTCTTAGGATAATCAGGACATCCTTCATAGTTTGCAAGCTATGTTCTCTCACAGTTAGAGCACTCCCTTTGCAAAAACAAAATTTCAACAAGCAAAAGTGTTAAATAATCTGTAAAAGTGCAAAATTACAAATTATCTTCTTATGAAGCAGTTAAACCAAAAAGGAGAGAAATGCAACTCAAGCAATAAAAAAAGTAATGAATCCATCAATTAAATTCTGGTAAAGTAAATACATAACTAATATGCTTAGTGCATTCCTATTATATTTTTTAAATAATAAATTTGTTGCTAAAATATTTCTTACCAACATGATTTTTGAACCAACGAGATTCCATGAGCAGTGGTGGGCTAATATTCAAAATATGGGCATTTGAAGATGCTCTGAGATATGGTATGCAAAGTTTGGATCTATAAAATAAGAATAGCACACAAGACATATTAGGTGTTTTTTTTTAAATATTTATTGGATAACTGTAAAATTTAGAAACTGGTATAGGATATTAAAATTAATTCAAACAAATGACTTAACTGAAATGTTAATGTTTTGATTTGAAATTATTTTCAGAAATGCATATCGCTGCAAATTAATCTTCAAAAATCATGCAAACTCATTGTAGCATTACATAACAACAAACAGACTAATCAATAAGATCAGCTATGTTGCTCACACACATCTTACCTAATAAATTCATTTATTCCTGCTAACTACTTGTACTATGTCTCATACATAACAGAACTCTTCATTTCAGTTTGACATCATGCAGAATGTTAAGGCTGTTCCAAGCAATTTTTCTCCAGAAATTATTTAATTTCATGAAAATGAGCAATTTAGCATACCGAACTAGCTTGTTTTGTGGGCAAAAGAGAGGCCAAGTGCTGTGAATTTATTTCCATTTTCCTTTGAACCTCTATTTCTTCCTTACAAACTGTTTTCAGATGAGTATACAAATTTCTTACGGATCCACTCTGCAGCTCAGTACTTTATTATATGATTGCAGCATTATTATATTATTTGTTAACTGTTCTGAAATTTTTTCAATCTCTGACTTATTTTGAACATACATTTCACATAGAAATTGAATGAAATACAGTACAAAGTCCGAGATCCAGAGCTGCGGTGATTTCAAAAATTTCTGGATTTTAGATCAGTAGATTAAATTTAATAAAATTATATCAAGACACGTCAAAATTGGGGTTTCACTTATATTTTAGGTGAAACAGAAAAATGCTCACCTAACAACCATTGAAGAGCTAAAAGTGAGATCCTTACCAACATCAATCAGTACAATATCAATCTATGTACTGTCTTGAAAATGAACAATTTAGAAGTTATTGCAAAACTTCCTCCAATAGATTGCTTATCATTACCAGCATTATAATATGGTCATCCATACAAGAATCTGCAACAGCACAAACATTCATTATTGAACAACTCCTAAGATAGCGGATCTCATTTTTAAGGAATGTAAATGAATTGCACTGTATTAAGAAAAACAGAGAGAATTTTTATAACTTTATATAATTAGAAAAGTTAATGAAATTACAGATATTTGAGTATAAATGTACATTACTCTATAAAAGATTTAAATTTTCAAACAGCAAGCTGTTACAAAGTTAGGAAAAATAATTTTTAACATGGTTAAATTTTTAACTTGGATCCAGAAACTGACATAGTTGAAGTGAAAAGCAATGGTGCCATAGTTATTAATAAAAAAAATTTGTTCAGTTATTACCCATTAATAATAAACTAACTATGCTATTCACATGCTACATTTAGCAATTATTGCTTGCAGCCTTTTACATAAAAAATACTAATTTCAATACCTATGTCATAATTCAGAAATCAGAAAGAATGCATAAAGTGTGAAGTAAATGACAAAATGAAGTTTAACAGCAACAAAAGAATATTACTATGAACATTTTAATGTTTCCAAAATATTAAATAAGAAAAATCTTAAATGATTTTCATGTGTGTGGGGGAGGATTTCAGTTACTTTATTATAAAGGCCAGTAAATTAATAACGAGTCAGTGAATATTGCACAAAAAGTATGGTATGTAGAAAAGTGCAGATGGGTCGGAAATGGAGTCAAGTCTGGCCTAATGATTCAGGCACATCTCTCTCGCCAAATGTCCAGCAAGGAGTGAGAAAGGATGATAACTGAGCATCAGCTATGTCCAGTCATTTCTTTTTTGAAAGCGACACAGAATGGAGGCATTCAAAGCAGAGCAGCATGGTGTTGTGCATTTTTTGATAGCAGAAGGTGTAAGAGGGCATAAAATTCATAGACGAACGAAAAGGATCCATAGGGAGTACTGTATGTCAGGGGCAAGATTTCATGAGTGGCCCAAGTGCTTTCATGAAGGATGCATATTGATCGCTGATGACCTGTGGAGTGGAGCACCAAAGTGTGTCACAGGAAAGCATGTTGCAAAAGTGGATGAGCTCATGAAGAAAGACTGTCATCTAACAGTGGATGACATTTCTGTATCAGTGGGGCTTAGCCATGGTACGGTTCACGGAATCATCAAGGACGGGTTGAAGTTAGTTAAAATGTGAGGGCAATGGATCCTGCATTATTTGACATCAGAATAAGAGGGATGTCACATGGGCATGGCCATGCCGTGCTTGCAGGGCATGGCCATGCCCATGCAGTGCCCATCATCATTTAATGATGATGGGGACATTAGTTGGTGCCACCACTTTCAGCCCGAGTCAAAATGGCAAAGTCTTCAGTGGAAGCACACATATTTCCCTCCACCAAACAAATTCAAGACCCTCCACACTAGTGCTGGCAAGTACTGCTTTCATTCTTCTTTGATTGTAAGAGACCGCTTCTTGTTGATTTCCTGGAGCTATGGTCAATGCTCAGTGGTATTGTGAAACCTTATTGTAGCTCGGGAATGCAATCAAATCAAAATGTCTTGGTAAACTTTCTCATGGTGTCATTCTGTTGCATGACAACGCTAGACCACACACAGCCAACGCAACAAAGGAATGTCTGCAGAGTTTCAAGTGAGAAGTCCTGAGCCACTCCAGCTATTGTATAGATCTATTCCAATGCAGTGGCGTAGCAAGGGGGGCAAGGGGGTGTATAATGCCACTCGCAGAGGGGTACCAAATGGTCTCCAAACAAGATTTTCATCCTATCACTGTGTTTTTTTGTATGGGGGCGCCAGTTATGCTCGCTACTCCACTGTTCCCATGCGACTTCAACATCTTCGGTGAACTCACAAAAGCACAGTGGGGACACCAATTTCAAATGGACAAAAGTCAAGGAGTGCTTGCACAACTGGTTCAAACAGCAACCAAAGGATTTCTATGAACACGGCATCATGCGCCTGGTGTCATGATGGGATAAACACCTACGAACAATACTTTTGAGTTTTTTTAAATAATTACTGGGAAATTGCCTCCGATTTATTATTTATTGACTGCTCCTAATATTTTGTGTCAAATACCTTTTATTTTCTTTTATTTAATTTTATAGCTAAGCAAACTGAAAAACTTCGAAAAAAAATCCATTTTTTTAAATTGATTTATTTATTGTTATTAACATTACTTGGTAAAAATTCAAAAATCATTAGTCAGCTTTTCAGAAAAACCATAACACGAAAACCAGCATTTTTCTAAAATTATTTTTTGTATAAACCTTAATACGAACATATGAACTAAATACATAATAAAGCTGAATAACCAATGCATGTGCTTTCCTTTCGATAAGAGAAAAGGTTAGGTAAGGTTATTTGAAAATAGCAATGCATACAAAAGATGTTTCAAATAACTGGAAAAAAATGTTATTCCTATATTATGAAATGAAATGACACTGGAAAAGAAAATTGTCATTTATACTAGTAGATGCAAAATAGTTTTCTTTCTCAGTTTGCAAGTACTTTGCAAAATACTGCACATCACTTACATGGTTAATAAAACATACCTAATATGCCAACAGAAAATTCTTTCCTCTGTCGATAAACAAAAATTTTTCTTTAAAAAGAAACTAACAAAACTTTGATTTAATACTTTTCCCCCTAATTTATACATATACACAGCAATTTAAATTATTCTCTCAAATCCTGTAACATAACATTTCATCTTTCAACTAACATATTTTAAGCAGTATGTTGCATTTTGTTTATTAAATGTTCTTTAGCTTTACAAACAAATTTACTGTGAACTGAATTACAATAATAATGAATCTTATCAATAAAACTGAATCATGTAAAAAATAAAGATAAATTTAATGAAAAATTGAATAACTACTTACACACAAGCATAAATCGAAAAAAATTTGCGAACTGGTTTGTTGCGTAAATAAGCAATAAAATTAGCCAAAGTAGCTATAAATGCATAAATAAATATTACAATCTAATTTTAACAATTAATTAGACTAACTAAATTCTGGGAAGTGGTCTGAAACCATAGTAAACTGGCTGAATGATGAATAGAAACTGGCTCACTGATTACACATGCTTCAATAAACAACTCCTTTTTAAATAAAATGTGACACACATTATACATCGAAGCCTATTCTGAAAAACAAACTACTGTCTAAAGTAATAGAACAAAGCAGATTAACACAGATCATTTCATAAATTACTTATTTCCCAAATTATTTATCCACTTATTACTTAATGCAGTGACATTCAATCGAATGCCTACTTTTCATACATGCCGATAACACATTAAATCCACACAGAGAGACATACCTTGCCCAAAAAGGTCCTTATGCAGTTTTTATTTTGGACTATTAGTTGTAGACATATAAGGTTGCCTCAGAAAAATTTTTAAATGATTCAAGTTCTCATGTTATATTATTTAAAAAAAACTTGCAAAAATCATGAAATTTAATTCTTTTATATGGTGTTTCAGTCTCCATACTTATATTTAGTACAAGTTTAAACTGATCACAAAAAGTAACACATAAAAAATTTGACTCTTGTATCACAAAATTTGAGTGATATACTTAATTTTAAATTTTGGGATTTTTACCACCTTTCTTAGCTTTTTCTAAGCAATTGGTAAAAAAAATAATTTGAAAAATTTGAAGTTCATTTTTTCCTTTTTAATGGCATGAGTGATATTCTTTTGTGATCTAGTAGCATATAATATTCTTTCATTTATAAGTTTGTTAAATATGGCATATCAAAAAAAATTTCACACAAGTAATTTACAAGTTATCAATATATTTTTCATAGTCTCAAGAATTTTTTAAAATTTAAAATATGAAAATTTATTAATTAAAATTATTTATCATTTTTAATTTATGTAAAGAGTTTCACGAGTTGGGTATGTGCTAAAATTGAAGTTGCAGCTATTTCTTAGAACATGAATTTTACAAGATTCTATGAATAATAGCTCTTTTTTGGGGGGAGGGGGGAATATATTGATAAATTCTTTTTAAAATAGTATGCATACCAGTGTTTAACATTTTACACTATTAACTTCAGAAACCTTTTCTAAATTGACATTTCGCTTTTAAATACCTGTAAATTTTTTATTTCATTCAAATGGTGAATTATTTCTGAATTTTCAGGAAACATGATCTTAAGTTTTAAAATTAAATACCATGGTAAATTTGTGTCATACAGAAGTCAAATTTTGTTTCATTTATTTATTTTTCAAATGAGCAAAAAATTTTCATAGACAGAACAACAGGGATTAGTGGCTGTATAAAAAGTTAGATTTCATAACTTTTATGCAATTGGTTTTGCAATTTTACAAATGTGAAAAGTTTTTTGTGTATATGTATGTATGTGTAAACATATATATAAAAATTATTCAATTATGGCAAAGCACATGAGGGCTTTCGCAATCTGCCTAAAGGGAGATATGCCTTCGTGGAGGACTTTCTAAGGGAAACTTGCTCGTATACACGTTAAACATGGGGAAAACCACGAAATCGCATATGCAGCCAGACCATTCAAAGGATTTGAGTGTTCAGCGTCTTTACCGCTTGGCCGCTGGTGGGCCATATATATAAGGAAGCTAAAATTTAAATTTCTTGCAAAGAGTCAAGATTTATTTCTTTTAACATTACATAACTTGCTTAGTGATTTCAAATATCTTTCAATGTGTGTAGATGAATGTATTTAAATCCATATAAAACCTAATGCATATGAATATTAAAGCAACTTGCTTTGGTTTACTTGATTATGGCAAAACATGCAAGCACCTAACTGATCTTCCTAAATAAAAGAATGCCTTTATGGAGGTCTTTCTAAGGGGAATTAGCTCATATCCATGTTACACATGCAGAAAACCATGAAAATACCTATGTAGTGAGCCCATTTGCCTGTAATCTAACCCAGGTTAAAGTACAACTGTTCAGAAAATTTATTGCTCGGCCGCAAATACTAAAAACAAAGGTACATTTGAAAAAAAAAATTAACTAGCAGTTCAGTTTTTTTAAACAGACCTTCTTGATAAGAGATCAAAGTTTTTAGCAAAATACCTACACCAAAAATGTTCCTCTCGTATTAATATTATGCATTAGATCATAACGTTTCATTGGAGTGTCTACAGTTCCAGTCAGATGTATAGCACTTGCATTGTTCACCAATATGTCAATTCCTCCAAATTTATTCACTGCTGCATTTACTGCTTGCTGAACATCCTCTTCATTTCGTACATCAACTATACATGGTAAGCAGCGTCCACCTACCTCCTCCACTACAAAAGAAATATACACTTCTTAAAATAAAAATAACCAGTTTCCATAAAATGGAAAGATTTTTGCTAAACAGTAACTACATGTTAAAAATAACTGCATACATTAACATATGTTTTAAATTTGTTTGATGCCTTAACTGCATTAAGTATCAATGAGTTGATAACAAGCAACACTGAAGTGGTAAATTTGATCCAAAAGGAAGAATATATTGAAATATCCCAATAGTAAGTAATACCCCAATCTCTAATTTTTATGGATTCCAGGAGAGTGGGATATTTATTCTTAACACCTCTGGGAAATTTTTTTGCAGTTTAAACGTGATGCTTAAGTATATAAGCTAGTTTACCAGTCTAGAATTCTAAATCCTTCTGAAAAATATATATGCTCAGTTTGAAATATATTGTTGCGTGCGTACATGTTCGCAATAAATTGAATGCACAAGTCCAAAGAAAAGTGAATAAAATTCATTCTTATCACAAAAAATATAAACAAAATGCTTAAATTTCCTTAGAGATATTCGTACAATATCGCAATATCTCACAGCAATTATCTTTTAAACTACTAAAACATTCAACAGAACTTAATTCAAAACAGAGAAAGCTAATCCGATTTCACCGCGAATTTGCTACAGTAAACAACAGTTATCCAAACAACAACTGAATTGAAATACTTTCCACCAGCTTTTATAAATGCTCGAGAATATTCTTGTATTTTCTCGATTTTATGGGTAGCAAGAGTACAATTATGAGATATCTGTTTATTAAAATGTTAAATGCACGTGCTCCTGTATTTTAATTTTTCCGGGGTAGCTTTCTCTTCAAATAAGTCTTGTGCTTCATTGCACGGGAATATAAAACAATTTTAATTAATTCTACTAAACATAACTAAATAAATGCAAAAACTGTAACAATATAATTTAAAAAATTAGCTTTTCAAATGAAATATACAATGTAAAAAGATTTGCTTTTCAGACTTCAAATATCAAACTGTTGATTCCTGAATCTCCAAATAATGAAATTCTCAGAATAATATAATGATACTTATGTTTTAGCCACTGCCCATAGATACAGATACATCACCAAAAACGCCATACTCATACCTTACTCTGCATTCCTTTGAGTTACTGACAACCATAGAAGCTTTTCCAGATTCTTCTAGAACAGTGATCCCCAAACCATCGATTATGAGCTACTAGTAGCTCAATAGAGGAAATTTTCAGTCAATCACGTTATCGCTCCAGTTGGTAACTCTTGATTCCTTCACCGAGCTGACACTGATGATAACAACTGCATTCCCATGTAACTGCCATGGTCAGCCTCACCTCCTAGTTGATTGTATACGTGTGAGGTTGTGAGCCTAATGTTTTTTGTGTGTATATTAGACATTTGCTAACTTGGATAGTTTGATTTATGCATTGGGCACAAAGCTAAGTCTGTTCTAACGATGGCAAATTCAAGCAAAACACTTATCACTTTCATTCAGAATGGGAAACCAATTACTTCTTTACCCAGGTAAAGGACAAATGGGTGTGTTTACTGTGCTATGCAAGTTTATCAGTTGGGAAGCAAGGGAATGTCAAAGGTCACTTCAAAACCGTTATAAGCAGGGATTGAAAAGGAGCTCTCACTGAATTCTGTTCTAAGGAAAGAAAGATTAACTGTTTGACTGCTACGTGGCACAAATGCACTGTGTTCTTGCGCTGTGAGTTTCAGTGTGTCTTTGTTGCTCTGTGGGTGTGAACGTAGTCAGTCTGACCTCACGTGTACTTTGTAACACGAGTGCATTCTAAAATAACTGTGTCACGGTTTTCAAGACAAATTAACGCTGAGCTTTTGCGCCGCGTAGCAGTCAAACGGTTAAGGCAGCTAAAATCTAAACTTAATGCTCAACAATCAACTTTTTTAAAACCATTACACAAGAATAAATCAGAAACTGAATAGTCATACAAAGTTTTAAATATTATCGCACAGAATAAGGAGCCATACGAAGATGATGAAATAATCAGCTGCAGATGCATTATTTGATAGTTCAAAAAATAAAACTGAGATAATGTCTTTTATTAAATCTGTACAGCTTTCTGCAAATACAGCAATGAGATTATGAGTTCTGATGTTACCTCACAACTGCAGCTATTTCTCTTTGCAACTTGACGAATCGGATGATATAGTTGATACAGCTCAATTGGAAATTTTTGCAAGAATGGTTTTTCAATAATTTTGAAATAAGAGAGAAGCTGGTAAAGATTATACCATTAACAGGATACACTACAGGACAGGACATGTTTTTAGCAGTTAAAGATTTTATCAACTCTGAAAATATTACTATCAAGAAGTGGGTGGGCTTAGCAACTGATGGAACTCCTGTGATGGTAGGTAGAGAAGTCGGATTCATAACCTTGTGTCACAAAGACAACCGCTTTTGGAAATTTCTGCCTTACCATTGTGTAATACACTAGGAGTCACTGCGCGGAAAGTTTTTAAGTATGAACAATGTAATAAAAAGTCAAAAACATAGTGAACAAAATTAGAGTACATGCAATTCAGAGATGTTTGTTCGGATCACTGACTGATGAATAAGATAGTCAGTATGGTGATCTAGTGCTTCATACAGAAGTTCATTGATTGAGTAGAGGTGGAGTTTTCAAGAGTTGTTTCCTGTCTTAGTAGAATTTTTAAAAGAACAAGGTGAATCCTTCTGTGAACTAGATGATTGCAGGATTTTGCTTTTTTCACAGACATCACCAAAAAGTTTAATATCCTTATTTTGTAGATTCAAGGTAAGGGTACAGATATTGGCAGAACAATTTCAGATGTTACTTGATTTTTAAAAAAGTTGGAAGTGTGTGTGTGAGGGGGGCATATCATTCAAGGTGAATACAAACACTTTGCCTGTTTGAAAGAAACCTTTGACAAGCAAGGGTCTTCAAAACTTCCTTACAACAGCAAAACAATGCATCAAAATTATTTTAGATTTGAGAAGTGAATTAAACAAGTGCTTCCAAGATTTCAAAAACATATACACTGTGGCACAGTTTGTCAAATTGCGTTTTACAGAGATTGATTGCTGAAGAGTTCTCTACTTGTGTCATGGAGCATTTTGATTTTCACTTGTGTCATGGCACATTTTGATTTTCAAGAAGACAGTGCTGCAGTGGAGTTGGAACTGACTGATTTTCAAAATGATTTATCTGTAAAATTGCTTTCTTCAAGCTCTGAAAATGTCTGACCTCTTGTCCTTAAGAAAAAGTACCTAATTTTGGTCCAGATTTGTCTAAATGTGAAGGCAATGTTCAGCTCTATATATTTCCTGAAATAAGAAAACTTGTTTATGACAACAAAAGGTTCCATCCTTTTCATTAAAGTTAATAAGACCAATTAAAAAATCTGTTATTACATTTGTTATTTATTACTAATTATTACACTTCAATTTCTTTCTTATGTGCAATTCAATTTAAGTTTCTTTTTGTGATATACATTTTAATTAAAACTGATTTCATATTTACTAGAAATGTAAGTTTATAGGCAATAAATAGATGTAAAATTTGTTTTAAAAAGTTGGTAGCTCTTTTGATTGGTAGTTCACAGCAAGATTTAAAAATGATACACTAGCTCAGAAGCTTCACAAGTTCGGCAACCACTGTTCTAGAAAGATGCATTTTTTTATCTTTTTTGAGAAGATTAAATTTGTCTTGCATTGCCCTAAAGGAGGATGGGTATGGATTCTTTGATACTTTTTAATTACCTACACTCCTCTCCCAAAAAGCTGCCAACCATTGGCAACTAATTTTTCACCACGCTGTGAAAGATAACAGCCATTTTCAAAAATGGCAGTGCACTAAGAATTACATAAAACAGCAACCAATTAACAAAACTTAAAATGCAAGAAACATCCATAATAAAACATTACTTTTTTTACACACTGTTCTTTCTAAGTACACATGCTGCATCAGAGAATTGCAGAAATTTGGCATCGTGCATTACTTGACACTGCCCACACTTTTAGTTTTTCCGATCTACACAGTATTCTATTTTTTTCCTGAAGAAATATCAGACAACTGTACAATTTTGATATCGATGCACAAATTTTGATCCATAAACTTCGATCATTTACAAAGTACAGCTTCGTGGGATGCGAATTTTTAAATTTTCTTACATTTGGCAAAACACCAATTCTTGAAAAAATGCAACACTTTCCCTTTTTTTTCCCAAATGGCAAATTTCACAGTCTCATTATGAATTCTTGCCAGAAAGAAAAAAATGCAATCAGTGCAATAAAAACAAACATTAATGGGCATTAAATCTGAAGGCGGAAACATCTGGATTGCTACATAAATACATTCTGACGATACAGCACACTGCCTCATGAATACTTTTAAGGGGGGGGTGTTTAATCATAAAGTACCATCATTTTTTTAACTTAGTACCAACTTTAGACCAACTACATGGTGGCCAAAATAAAACTGGCTCGGAAAATGTGTACAATTCTGACATTAAATCCTCTTCCCTGCGCAGTCTGTTTCATGTATTTTGTCACTAAATTTTCCATTGCATATTTCACTAGAAGTTTTGCCCAAACACTTCCACACTCTTGCACAAACATATCAGTACAAATTTAAGAGTCCACCATGTAGAGCTCCTGTTAAAACTAGTGCAGAGCTGCATCTATTTTTTTTTAGGCAATTATTTTCCTGCAGAGAGATTTCAGCACAATGTTCATTTGCCTTTTCTTAATTCTTACTATATTTTGCATCATAATACTAGATTTGCCAAGAAATACAATAAATGCAATTCATTATTTTCATGCTTATTTTGCCAAAATTGTTGCAAGTGTTCTAATCTTAAACAATAAAAGTGAGATGATGGATGATATAACATCAATAAAACAGTGGACAAAGTGTTTAAATAAGAATTAGGCTTTGGTTCTAGATAAGTCCCTTGCCTTCTTATTTTGCAGAAATCATATACAGGTGAAGACAAGGTGTGCAAAACGGTTACATAAT